GAAAGCTTACCCTTTTGAAAATTAAGTCAAGATCAGTCATGTCTAAAGCCAGGGCATATCCCCCAACATAGTCCATAGCCTGTGCCTGAGAAATGTTCAGTCCTGTTTTACCAATAACAACACCAAGTTCCACTTCATGGTGGATGTGATCACGGCCTACAGGAATCTGTCAAAGCAATGAAAATGTAAATGCAACAAAGTCCAAAAAAAATAGACCATGAAAATGGACTTTGTATTTTAAGGTTCTGAAGGATCAAAGGAGATCTAGGGACACACTCTATTCGGAGGCATGCTTACATCTACAAAGAGTCAAAAGGCAACCCACATTTTGCACAGTGTAGATATAAGACTGTTCTCAGGGGAAAATTTGCCTCATTTGAAAGCTGGAATTCAGGATTTTGAAGGAAAAGTTCTCTTGGCCATATGATAAATCCTTTATTGACCAAGCTTGTTTGGTTGAGATGACTGGATATTAGCCTTATATTTTTTTTTTACAATTTTGTTGCCCTTGCATTTGTCTCAGTCCATCATAATACCTCCCTCCCAAACAAATTAACTTGGCCATTATCCAGCCATCTTTGACCTCGCACTTGGTATTAACACATATATAACTACCAATAGGACAATGGATTTGGGAATGTAAGATTTGGAAATCCAAGAAATTTATGAGGATAGTGTGATTCCAATAAATGTTTTCATTCCTCAGTTTATCCTCCTATCCTTTTTAAGCCCCAGTTTTACGAAAATGAGAGTCATATTACTCACCCCAGCTACATACAGAATATCAATTCCCCCCTCACTGTACACAAGAAGCAAAGGATATTGCTTTACAAACCTCAGATGATATCCACTGCAGTGCAAGAAAAGTAAAAGTGTAATGATGGTGGCTAGGATTCTCTAACATGTAATGGTGATAATGTCACATGGCTTGTCACACTGGATACCATATTTCCTTGAATAGGGGCCTATGCTCTAATAAACTCCTTCCCCCGAATAAGCAACCACCCTCTAGGCAAAAATATCAAGCAGGTACTCACCATATCTGTGTAATGGGAAACCGTTATAGATTAAAGTTGTAGATGTAGACTGATGTAGACCTTGTTATAAGCACCCCCTGGCTTCCCCTCCCCCATCACTTTCTTAAATGGTAGGGATACAAAGATAACCTGTTTCTACAGAGGCCAGTAAGTGCCATGCAAATTTTGTGCTCGATTTTTCCTTTCTCAACTTTTTCCTTGCCTTTAAGATTTTTTCCCAACGTTTTCCTCGCCTTTAAGCCTTTTTCCTGACTTTTTGCTCGCAGCTCTTCATCGACTTGGGCACAGCTGGAATTGACTGATGCATAAGCTTCAACTTCAACATTTACACTGATCCATCTGTGTGTAAACTGTATAACAGGACTACGGTACGGTTGATTACAACAGGAGAACTTAATACTGGGAGGCCCCCCTCGAGTAATCGCTCAGGCACTTATTCGAGGAATATGGTACATGGGATTTTTTCCTGGGAATTTAGTATTTTTAGGTAAGTTGATGCATGAAACCTTAACCAAGGAAATTTTAAAACCTACCTTGATTTTCCCTCCTGGTCTCAGATACGTGGATGACGGTTTGAGAAAGAGTAAGGAGTCTTGAGCAGGAGGAGGTTGCTGTGGTGATCCGTTTGGCCTACATGAACATTTTACAAAGGAAGTCTTACAGAACAGGAGCCCAAAACCCAGAGCGTCTAACTTCCATACTGCGCCTATGCAACGGCGTTTTCACAAGTAGGTTTATTTTTAGATAAGCTTTTCCCGCGAATTGCTTTCGAAAAGCCAATCACTAGCAATTGCGTCATCAATGATAAACTTTTAATACGTAACTAGGATAACTCCTTCACATTAAAAAAAAACAGAGCGGACACACGTGAGGAATCTTCAGAGGAGTCTTTTGACAGTACTTCAAACGACAATTTCAGTATTTACACGGAAACTAGCAGTTCAGAAGAAGATTTGCAAAACCTAGCCAGGACGTCTACTTCATCGACGACAACGCATAATTCACGGAAAGGGAATTAAATCGAAATCATCTTCGAGATAGCCGACTGTGGAAAGGTCCAAGCGAGCTACTAACAGTCTAAACGACGATCAAATGCAGGAATTGACCTCGTGGAACAGTTATTTTTCGCGGGAAAAGCTTATCTAAAAATAAACTCACTTGTAAAAACGCCGTTGCACGAATTTATGGCAGTTGAACGCTCCGGTTCCGGTTATGGGCTGCTGACAGAATGAATAGTGATTCTTACTTTGTTTTATATGTTTAATACATCACCAACCTGTAGTTCTTCCCTACGCCGATAATTTTTCGGCTAAATTCTACAAATCCTCTCAGTTCACGTCCATGGGAAGCCATCTTGACCACGGAATAAATTGAACCAATAGAATCTTGGATAAGATCCTATCCAATGAGAGATCGCCTTATATCTTCGTTTCAACAACCAGCTCGTTCCCAGGGTTCTCTCTTCCTCTCTGTACACTGTTGCTCCACTGTTGCTATCACAACCGGACGCAACCAGCGCAACCGTCCTTTTCGCGGAATCTTCTACTTTTCAAAATTTTTATTGTGGTGTACCTTAAACTAAGTACCTAATGAAGTCATTGATTGAAAAGAAATGGAATTTAGAAAAGCAACTTATGCAGAGTATGTTAGCTGAATGCAATGAATGAACATGAATGCAAAATGAGTGCTAAAAAATTGACCAATGAACGAGATTGTTTTTATTTGTCATGTATTTTTCCCGCGCTTATAACGCGTCTGGCAAGCTGCTGGCGACGATGGCCGAAACGCTCTTAGGAGAAGGCGAGTGCTCAAGAAAAAGAATAGAAACACAAATTATTGTTCATCAGCTCCCTCGTCCAATTTCAGCACGTCTAAAGCTGTTGTTGGCTTCAACGATTGTCTTGGTAGTACTCGTCTTTGGGGCGATAGTTTATTTTATATATGCTAAATATGCATACGAATGACAACACGGAGAGCTACCAGCCTCCTGAGACCGGCGTCTGTTCACAAGTACAAGTAAGCACTTTTGTATTATTTTTTTGCACAGCAATATTCTGTTGCTCTTCTATCCAGATCCTTGGGAATAGTGTTTATTTAATGGCCGGATTAAACTAGCGATTCACAGCTTTTCATTTCAAGATCTACTGGTGTTTATTACCTGAAATCTTAAAAGGGAAAATGCTTGTCAAAGTATTAAGGGTCAACTTATGCTCTCCCTCCTCGCCGAACTAAACGTATAAATGCGAATTTTGAACAAAATGTTCCCTTGTGTGCCTCAAATACCTTATTTCACATTCAAACAAATGTTTATCTTCATGTATACAACTTTTTTTCCTTTCTTATTACAGCCCATCTAAACTGTTACAAAAAAAGCCGCAGGAATTTCAGAGTACAAGTGAATGTTTAGTTTCGTTGGAAAAACGCACAAATAATTGACAAGTAAAGAGATAACTCGATCAGGTTTTTAGCCAGAATTNTTTATAATAATTTTAAACCGGTAGAGTTAAATTTAGGCTTTATTTTTTTTTTTTCGTAAACATTTTCTTTTTTTTTTATATAATAATCAGTATGAAATTCGCAATTTTTTTTTTTTCTTTTTCTTCTTTTTTTTTTTTTGCAGTTTTCTGGTCAAGAAGTTCGAAAAGAAACAGATTTTGTTCGCGATCAGATGAATCGTGAGGGTGAATCATGGTAATGTCTTAATTCGCTATGTAAATCATGTGAACTTTAATTACAACTATTGAAAGACAGCATTGAAAGCTGTTCTCGCGGTGTAAAAGATAAGCTGAAATAATCATTAAGATGAAAAATAGTTCATTGAGTTTTGTCCGTAGCCATATCGCATTACAGTGTTTCAAACTAAGCGTTACTGAATAGCGTTTTACAAGTTCCTTCTTGAAAATCTACAAAAGAATAAATTTAACAATACTATGGCAATCTTCCACTCGTTTGAATGCCGTGTTGCGATAAGAAAAGTGTCAAAATTAAGTAGATATGAGAAAAAATCGGAAGACTATACCACAAAATTATCTTTAACTTCTCTTGTGGTCTAATCTGTAAATAACTAATTTGATGGTCTCGCTCCTCAGTGCCGCAAATCAAGCCTTCAACAACACGGGCGCATCGCCGATGACTATCTCACAGTCGCAAGTACGTATATTCTGTTCCTAATTCCTAGTATAAGGATATATTCATTTTCACCATGCGCTTATAGCTATAGCCTTTGCCTACTGCAAAAAATTTACCTGTCTTTAAGCTTAAATAAAATTCCGAAGACTTGACCGGCTATACGCGTACCGTCACAAATGGGTCTATCTTTTTAATAGAAGCTTTTATCTAGGATACTGTTACCTGCCAAACATTACTTTCCTGGCCGGGCTTCATATTTTTTTTATCATATTTTTTTTCTCTTTTCAAACCAAGAACGTCTCTTTGAACAATGGAGAACGACGTCAAAAAGATGATCAGAGCCAAGGTAAGTAATGTCTTAACCTTTTTAAAAGAAGACAAAGGTAAAGGAAATATATTTCACTGCAAACAGTTCTCCTACGAGCAATAAATTTAGCCAGACATCATTCTAAGACGGATTTCGGTTATGGTCCTATATATTACTTGAGGTCGACATTAAAGGCTAGGACTACGAGAGTCTTAGAGCAACTTGGAATATAAGTTTACTGGAATTTCTTTACTCTGACGTTTTGCGATATCCGAAGGTGACATGAGCAATATTCCATTTGCAAGACTGAAAAAAAAAAGCCAAAGTTCTGCTTTGTTTTTCTTAGGGTGCCCTGATACTTACGAAAATATGATCACAAGAATGGAAGAGATTGAGAAGACCCTGGCAGCGATAAAGGAAACTGCAACAAAAGCAAGTGGTTAGTACTAATACTTCAACACCAACTCTTAGTGGGTTGTGGCTATTACCTGCACCGGTTTTAGGGCATAATTTAACGGTACAGCTTTGGACATTGGGAATTGGCAATTGACCACTCCGGAAAATACCAAAACATACCATAATGTTCTTTGTTTGTCACCCCAAACTTTTGCAAAAGCATTGACTTCGGTTTCTCTTTAAAATGGTCCGAAGAGAAACTGAAACAATGCTTATGCAAAATTTTGGGGTGACAAACAAAGAGCATTATGGTATGTTATGGTATTTTCAGGATTGGTCAATCGTGCATTGAATATACGGAACACGTTGCAATAATTTTGTTGACTGACCACCAAAAAAATAGCTTTCCAGAGCGTAATTTCCAATGCCCAAAGCAACCTTTATTGAATCAGCTGTATATAATTGCTATATACGCTGTAAAAGAACCCTGTTGTTGTCTCTCGGGCTCTGTCCCCAGGATCTTCTCGCATTTTCAAAACCCAGGTGATATGGGCATCCCCTTCTCATATCGCCTTAGCGATTTGGGTTGGGGTTAGGGTTACAGGGGATGCCTATATCACTGTGACAGTGGCATATTGGCAAACGAGAAGACCCTGGGGACGAGATTAGGCTCTTCGTTGCACGGGAGTTCAACGTTATTTGACCTTCGGAACAATGTTCTTAAGTCACGACCCTTTAAGTCTGCTTTACAGCCGTTCTTTGAGCAGACTACTACCCTTAGGGTTAAAAACCAAAACTCTCTTCAAACTAAAAACAAATCCTCCCCGTCTTGCGTGATCTGTTGTTTCATTTCCGAATATATGTAGGCCCTAGTCTGCTACACAGCCGTTTTTAGTGTCGTCACGCAACGCTCCGAGGAGCGTTGCGTGACGACACTAAAAACGGCTGTGTAGCAGACTAATGTAGGCCCCAAATGTCTAGTGAAAAGGCCAAATGACGAGTATGTACTTTATCGGGACTCTACGTTCTCTGGTCACATGATCTATAGGCAACAGAATAACTATGGATCGTTCTTCTGCAAATCCCATGATAAAAGACTTAGAACACGACCAGCAACCAACCCTTTGAAGCATGACCTGCACATAGATGTTCTCCCCCCAAATCAAATCATGAAACAACGGGAAGCATAGGGGACACTCCTAAAATGTTTAGGATTACGCGCATTGTCGTAATAGCAGTAATCGAAAAGGAAGTGCAGTTGACTTCTAACTGGGAATTCCCACAGGTACAAAATATAGCAGATGTCCTGTCTTGGGTCTGTCTCACATACGTTACAGACTTGACCGATCTGCCGCAATCCCCTCCTTACTGCTTCATTGATTGCAACATCACAAACAAGCCGCTGTGAAGGCCGATTCAAACTGTTACTTCTTTTCCCTTGTTTAGCGCGTATAGGAAGAGAAATCGGGGTGGACTATCTTTGAAACGACTAAGGTTGTAAGTATTGTACTCACGTTCATGTGTTTTTGTTTTGTTTTATTCAACAGTTCGCTGTCATATGCTGAACGTTGACGTTGTTACCATGTTTAACCCAGAAATGATGGATATGTTAAACCAAACTGTTGAACAGTGTGAAAACTGTATAAAGAGAATGGAGTCTTTATCTCCAAATGACAGTTGACCATAACGATGGGTCAAAAAAATTACTATCGCCTAAGTACGATGACTACAAATCAACCAGTTTAAGAGTTAAATATGCAACAATGAATTAGGTTGCAAGTTTACTTGTGGCTCAATAATACTTTAGACGAAAGTTGCTTTCAACAGATTTTACGCCACTATACCAGTTGGAAACTGATATATTTTGCATGACGTAGAAGTAGATAAGAAGACCAGATTTTGTACATTTTTATTCCATTGTCAAAATAAATAATACAAGTTTCATAAATTTAATTACAGTCCTATCTACATTTCTTTTTTATGATACAAAAAGTGCATGATAAATCAATTTCTGACTAACGAACTTAACAAGCGAATGGGATACTTCTTGCAGAGTTCGAAAAAAAAAATGTCACGAGTTTGAAAAACAACCTTCCCACAAAATAGAAGGTACCTTACTAGAATTATTCAACTTTGTCCCAAGAATGAACGGCAGTTTTTCTTTATCAAACTTATTTACAAGTCATAAAGAGAGAACAAAGAGTATCCATAACGTGAAGGAGATTTAGAAAGACGATAACTGTGATAACGATTTACCAACTTTCGTTTTCAACATCTTCAAGCATTAGTTCATTTGAACAACTATGTCATATACTGCAAACAGTGTTTTACCTGTTATCCAGACACTTCGATGTCAGTTTAAAAAAATACTAGACTGGACCATGACAGAAGAGACATGGCAAAGTGTTTGATACATTTTAAAAAAATTCTATAAAATAGAGCTATTCTGCCTAATGACAGGTATCTCTTCCTTTATCAAAAACTATTTTGCTCCTCAAAACACAATACACTAAATGTAAATAATTCACTATTTTGCCACACCAAAATAACACTCCAAAAATTGGCGTGACAACTAGCAACATGGTACATCCAGTACAGTTTGTATATTTTCCTGTTTCAATTCCTTCTACTGTTTGCTGCCGTCCATCATTGAACTATTGATCAATGAAATGCTAAATTGAGACCTACCAAAAGACTACTACTTATTCCATCTCCTAAAATGCATACACACTTAGCATGTGTATTATGACCTTCTCTCTGTACTCTGGGAGTGCACTACTAGGATGGTTACTGACAGAATGATTTTAAGAAACACTTCGACTGATTTGCTGTAGTATGTCACTATTTCTCACTTCTGTCGCATTTGGTCTTGCCTTGGGAGTAGCTGATACAAGCCATTGAACAAGTTGTGACTAAAGGAAAATACAAATTGTACTAAATCAATAACAACACAGTACTAAGAAAATTCCAGGCGACCATATGTTGCCCTTTTTCATTCCTTGAAAGGATCTCTGTTAAGCCACTTTCACTTTTAAAACGTAACTGTACTGTTCATTCCACCCCAAACTGCACATTTTTTTCAGAAAAAAAGGTCTAATTCAACCATACTAGAGCAAAGAGTGGGAGAGAACATACCTGAAGAGGCATCTTTGCTTCAAATTCAGTGGGAAGGTTCCTTTGTTTGACACCACACATCACCTACCAAGTAACAGAATATAGAGGATCAAGGAGCAAGAAAGAAAGAGCAAGTGCACTAATGAAAATAAAGGGTGAAATCACCAAGGAGGAGTCTTGTACCGTGAGACATGTAGTCTGTATATCCAACAATTTGGAGCAAACAGGCCCGTTCCAACAAAAAACGGTTTTCTTATTGTTTGCGGTCTTCAAGACTAACAGTGTTCCTGACATTGTGCTACCATGACAACAAGAACCTGACAAACATCTTTTTCAATTCTTATTTAAAAAAATATTTTTGACAACACACAGTACAAACAAAACCTTGATCAGCCTGCTTCATGTAAGACAGTGGTTACAAAGGTAAGATTACTCTATCTTGCTGTCATGGGTAGCAGACCCTGATTATCTCAGGCATCACAAAAACCTCATTAAATTATTTGTTTGTCACTGTTTTTGATAGCTCTCTTAAGCTTGCTGCCATTCAATCCACCACACTATTAGTAACAAATCAACAAAAATATTAAATATTTTTCAGCAAATTTGATTACTTAATATATTCATACTCTTACCTTAATTCTCTCCATTTGTGTACCAAATGGACAAAACAGTTCAAAAAAGATAAGCCCCAGTGAAAATATGTCCACTTTGTGTGAATATGCTTTTCCCTCCATCTGAGATTTGAAGAATTAAAAGTATTGCATCTGATCAGTTAGAATTATGCCTTACAGATAGAATGTTAGTTTCAGTCAGTTTGATGAACACAATCTACATAGTGTTTTTGTCACAGCTTTTCTACCTATAAAAACCGATACAACCAGAGAATGTCAATGTGTCATTCCTAAAAATATCCAGGCAATATGGTTTAATGCCAAACCGTCAGAAAGGTTGCAACCAGAATCTCCTTTATGTTTGGGTTTTAGATCCCCCTTAAAACTTGTATTTAACATGTTTTAAGGAATATGGGGTGGCTGGAAATTTACTAGTAAACAACTGTTGTTCTTTGCAAAATAAATAAAATCATAGTCTCAAAAGGTCTTAAGGTCTCAGATTTTGTAGTATTGTCGCTTTCAACTGGGTCCCACAGTCTTGTTGTTCTGTAAATAAATGATAATTCTACTGTTTATGTGTACTGTAGAAGATAGAGGAAGATAGACTTCATTTGTTAATATTCATTACCTGTTCAGGACTCATGTAAAGTTGGGTTCCCACTTGACTTGTGTGGTTTATGTCATCTATAAAAGATCCTTTGAAGGATAACAATAAAGAATATAAAATCAATACATCATGCAGAAAGGCAAACAACTGGAGAAAAAATAATGATGTATCGTACAACACATTTTTGAAATTCCTATTAACATCATAAATGAAAACTCTTAATAAAAAGCAGTTGTTGGGAAGCCAAAAAAAAGGTTATTGTGACCAACTCGAGGGAAAGTAACAAAATGAGCTTTCACCACTTGAGAAGTAGCCCCTCTAAAAATATCATGTGTACTGAACAGAGTTTTTTGCTGATTTTTAATTTAGAGTTGTTATATTGTTACCGATAAGTTGTCTGGATGGCATATACTATGCTTATATTACTTCCATGCTACATATTACATGTACTCCAACGCAACACACACAGTTTATCAGGATCACTAGTCTGTATGAAGTCGAAGCCTAGAGAGCAAATGGACAATGAAGTAGATCACAAAAATTAAAGCAATTAAAATTGGTTTTTGACAGGAGTTCCAGAAACCAAAAGCACCCTCATCTGGTGAAACTTTGAATTTGTAAGGCATCACGCCTCTTTCGTTTGCACTTTCTTCCCTTTTTGGTTAATTCAAGATAATGAAACAAAATTAAAATGTTGCTTTGACACAATGAAGTCTATCTTCAATGAAGCCAATCCACAATAGTTTAAGAGTTTACTAGCGTGGCCTTTAAGAGATAAAAAAGTGAAACGGAGCCTTGATGAAAGTCTTTCTTGGGGTCAAGTTCTTACCTAAACGAAAATGAAAAACAGACCAATGATTTAGTTACAGTGATGTACCTTTCACAGGGGTGTCCATGTTATTTTCTGATGTGTGAGCTGTCACCAGACCAAAGTCACCGACTTTCACAGACCCATCCATAGAAAAGAAGATATTAGATGGCTGCCATACAAAAAAGGTGACAATTGAAAGTTAAAATATTTTTAGAAACAAAAGATGAAACACAAAAGCAATGGAATAAATTATTCACTTCTTTGTACCCATGGGGTACAATAAAATTTCTATTTTTAATTGACTTTAATACCTTTAAATCTCTGTGCATAAGTCCTCTACCATGAAAGTACTCAACAGCATGCAGAATCTGTACGACAGTACAAAACAACCTTTAACAACCAGCGGCTAAAGCTAATATATACGAAACACTGAAACTAAATGTAATGAAGTACACAGGGATTAATGAAATGAATACTGAAGAGTTCACTATGAGTAAGACTCACTTCAGTAAGTAATATTAGCATGGCACTAATACAGGCTGGAGTCATTTTTACAAAAATTATCAGTCAAAATAAATTTATTTTTCTTCCTTTCTTATTCCAATAATTATTTAGTAAGCCCAGTGAAGTTTTAGGAGCCATATTTTATTTTCCTTGGGTACAAAACTAAAACCCTGGAGCACTGTGGTTTAGAAGGTGTTTTGTCACCTTCAGCAGAAAAAAAAGGTGAAGCAGAAGCTGGTGCCTTATACGCAACAAGATGTGACGTCTTTTAGAAGACGTTTCACTACCTTGACGGAAATAAAAAAGTGATGCAGGAGCCACTGCCTCATACGGGGGAAAACGTAGGCACACCGTCTTTCTTACTACCAATAATGGAAGTAAAAAATATGCTAATCAGAAATGTTCAAGTTGCACACAATTTTTTCACTATTCTTTTATATAATTAATTCTGCACTTTTGTCCGGGCAACCAAAATTGTAACTGCACAAGTATGCCACCAGGCATACCTGCCCGGCTGACAACTGTGAGAAAAAATGAACATGGATCCCTATAATTAAATAGTACTCCTTGTTAAGGAAAGTTAATGACTTTCAGAGACATGAAGAAGTTAAAACTAGTGATGAATTTGTCCTGATGTCTTGAGGACCTCATGATGCCATTATCAAGGAATGAATAAACAAAAGTGAGTTCAAAAGGAGTTCAAATCGTGTACTTTTACATAAAGAAAGCTAAACTAGACAAAGACTTTAGGATGGATTGAATCTGCCTGCACGTGATGTATCTACTGTTTACATGTAAACACAAATTCTCAATAACCTGTTCAAACACTGTAAGGCAGAAGACATGGTTGCGCTCTTGATTGGCTTTCAGCCAGTCCTTTAGGCTCTCACGCTGACACAACTGCATCTGAATAAATACATATAGTGGCGCTGACCGTCTATCAGCGTTGCAGTCTTCATTTTGACACTTGTGTTTATCCCCTGAAATGATCATAGGAGAAACACATGAACAATAATTAAAAATATAAGAAAAATGTGATATTCGGCATGTCATGAGTGTGATTTAAAGAATAAATCCGAAGCACCCAAGAAAAAATATGTTAAATTGCATGAAAATGTCAGATAAACAATGAATAATTCTGTAAAGAGCAAAACATTACTTGAAAGCAGAGAGCGATGTGAGGAAGTGAAATGCATTTCTTCTGATGAGCAAGTTTCCCTGGAACATGAGTCTTCTGAAGTGCTTGATAATGACAAGGATCCAATACTGTTCCAATCCTAAAAAAAGAACAATAAATTCTTATGACAACTTCCATAATGCATCTCTGGCTTAGAAATCAACTACTTCAGACATTCCCTATTGTATTAATCTTGCCAGACTGGCAGGACATTTATTCATACTATCAATTCTTATTTACTTCCAACCCTACCTCCCCCCCACCCCCATCATTATTATGTTACAAAGAACTGGACTAATTCTTATTTTGCCTTACAAAGAAACATAAGAAGTCATGATCACTTGGGGCTTTTTTCGTGGCAAAAGACCCTTAGTTATTCCATGTTACTCTTCCTATACCCCAGAAGTCAAACCTCAGCATTTTCAAAATGTATGTCCCACATATCATTTAACTTTGCTGTGAATCTTTTGCTTCATGTGATCTGCAACAACAAGATACTGCCAGCCTTTTCATAAGCCACTTCCCAGCCCCCCCCCCCCCCCCAAAAAAAGAAAAAACTTGAATTCCAGCACGTCCTTTGGGCAAACATCTCTCATGTTTTACTTGGCCATAATTTAGGCAACCACTTGCTTGTTTTAGTNCTTGAATTCCAGCACGTCCTTTGGGCAAACATCTCTCATGTTTTACTTGGCCATAATTTAGGCAACCACTTGCTTGTTTTAGTTAATGATTTAGTTGGCTGATGGCTAACCTTGACCCTCGCCCATCATGCAAGTGAGCTTTATAAGTTTCTTGCAAGGAAGCAAGAAAACCTTTTTTGTACTGAGCAGGACTTTTTTCAAGCCCTGGCTACTGTCCACATATAATGTTTCCATAGGGAATGGAGGTTCAAGTATTTTACAGCATTGGGTAAATTCACAAACTCATGCAAAACTGAACGTCTATTCGCTAAAAAAAATTAATAATGAATTAAATATGTCTGCACCAACCTGAATTTGGCTTGAATCTGAACGTCTGAACACGATGCTGCTAGATGCACTGTCCTCTTTAAAGTTAGTACAGATTCCAGTTTTAGGCAAATTTGAATGTCTGTTATTCCTTGAGGATTCAAATTCTATACTAAAAGAATCACTGACTTCATGTCCCTCTATGAATGCTTCGTTCTCTAACTGGTGGATAGCAATCTCTCCATTTAGACTGTCATGAATGTATTCTTCATCCTTATTTGAATTACATGAAGAATGTCTTGATCGGCAGCCAGAATTTGTTTTCTTCCTTCTTCTAGTAAATTTGTCCTCCTGTACACCTGCATTGTAAAAGGATTGGTGGATATTATAATGTTATGCTTTCTCATTTTCAATTATATTTTCTGAAAATGTGCCTTTCCTGTAAAACAATAATGAAGTCATAATCTTTGGCCAATTCTATTTCCTGCTTCCCTAAGTAAGATTGTTCCTAAGAGGAGAAAGTTGAAACTTTGAACAAGGGGATCAGACACAGGAGTTAATATATTAAAAGTGCGATTTACAAGGCCAATTGATTTAGTGTCTAAAAACAATAGCTACTGCAGTGAACTGTAAATTTCACTTGTAATAGTTTTATTAAATTGACCTCAGGTCTACTTGCAAACTAAGACAACGATTAACTACTAACAGCATCACAAAGCACTGGACTGTAGAATTTATGTAATGACCATAATCAAGAGTTTTGTCTGTGGCAAACTTAAATCAACAAAGAGTAACAAGCACACTTTATCACACAGTCATAAGTGCTTGACTTACCATTTTGTTCCATGAGTTGTTCTGTAGGTGGTGCCTTCATTATAATTCCTGAATTAAATGATGGAACTTCTGAAGGTAATCCACAGAAAGACCTTTTGGAAAGAAGTAAACAAATAAATAACTTGGATACTCTGGATTTGTTCTTTTTCCAGAGATACAGTCATGTAATTTCATGGGTTTTAATACCAGTATCTTCGTAGTGAGGGATGTAGGCACTATTTTGGTTCAAGTTTAAATTAAGCTGTCTGTGTATTGCAAGTTTCTGCAATAACTTCAGTGTATCCGGAGGACCGAAAGCAAGAATGAAAGGAATCATTGCTTCCACTTTTACTTTTTATTAAAGAAATAATTGTATTTTAACATTCTAATAATAAGTTTTTTCCTTGAGGTGACAATTTAAATTTGTAATACTGTAGTAACAACAATGTTTCATATACCATACACTGTACATACCCTTGTTCAAGCATCTGCATATCAAGTTCTTCCTGCCAGCCTATAGGGGGCGCCTCAAACCATGAATTGTAATATCGCACAATATGAGGATGCTCCAGCTTGGCTAAAGCTTTCACCTCCCGTTTCACTTTCTCTAATGCTTCATCACTTTATAAACAAAAGTAACAATAATAAACAAATCAATTAGACAACCACAAACATTTAAGCCTCTTTATGGGCACAAGTACCTGCAGATGTTGATTTCATTGCACATTTTCCATCAAATTGTCGGGTTTTCAGGAGAAATCGTCACATACCAAGCACTGTTTTGCATGGTAATGCTACTTGTGAGTTCCTTGCAACCACAATGATGATAGAAACAAGAAAATAGGCAAAACAAAAAAACTTTGAATGTGCAGCTCACTTTTTGATCACTTTCTTTGCTGTCATTACAGACTAATATTTTATTTACCTTGTCAAACTTGATTGAAATGGCTGTGCTCTAGCAGAGCCTGGTGACCCCTGGCGCCTAACTTTTGCTCTTGGGCGACTAGGAAATCTTACTTTTTTCATACAAATTATATGCTGGGCACCCTTGATTTTACAGTTTCAGAGCACTGGGCTCCCTTCAATTTTCCTTAGAGCACAGCCTTGCAATTTCACTTTAATCTCTAAGATTGTCACTTCATCAATGACAATCATGAAAATACCCATACAGAGGCTCACATTTGGACAGAAAGATGTGTTCTTTAAAAAGTGGCATGCAGAGACAAGTTAAGCAACTTTTAATCTTACCAGTTGGGTAAATGAATCCTTTTGATGGCATACTGACAGTCATCCAGCTTGTTCTTTGCTTGGAACACTAAACCAAAACCACCTTTACCCAGACACAGTTCATGTTCAAAGTCAGTTAGATATCTGGGAGAAAATACATCAAATAATTTTGTTATAATACTACTATTTTTTCATGTTGATTATAAATGACACAAATAATACTGGTAACAATAATAATTAGGTCAACTTTGCAGAAAATATTTCGTAAAATTCCGAAAATAAGCCACAGGGCTTATATTATTTTTTCAGAGCCCATTTTCCAGGGGCTTATTTTTGGAGGGGCTTACATTTGGAGGGGCTTATGTACGGAGGGAAATTTGCGTTTGAAAATTGATTGGGCTAGCTTGTAGTGGGAAGCAAATTTACCATTTTTGCTTTGTTTTACTTTGTATTCGAGGGCAAATTCCAAGTACAAGCCCCGCGGGGGTCTTGTATTAACGGAGCGTTTTTTGCGTTATGATTTTGGGGGGCTAATATTTGGGGGGCTTATACATGGAGGGGCTTATTTTCGGAATTTTACGGTGTAATATACAGGGTGACTGCTATACACAGGGCCATTAACAGGTTTGACTGTAATCACTAAAGGAAGAGTCGACTCAATGCGAAATACTACTTAAATATGAAATAAAAATTTTCACTCCAGAATAACAATTCTCTTGAATTCACAAAGGGATTTCAGTGCGGTCTTGCGGTAGAGAAGAGGAGGAGGGTGACTATGGACTAAGGACTGCGAACTGGGTATAAAACACAGAGTAAGAATAAAATGCATAAATATTTCTAGGTAAGGTAAAAAATAACATTAAGAAATTGCTATTAAATAGCATAACACACAGGTTATACAGCACTTTTGTGAGTTGTAGCAAGTCTGGGACTATGACTCAATTACAGAGTTAAAACTACTAACACTACTTAACACCTCAAATGATTATATGTAATCTTAATATTTCTGTTGTCTGTTCATTAAATCGAGGGCTGGTAAAAAGTATCAACCCATATTGCCAGTATAAAAGCTTAATTTCCCGAATCAGAGCTTCCCAGTTTCATATCTTTTACTGATATAAATCTGTAAATTGAATTCTGTAACACTCTTTTTTGTCAAACATTCACACAGTTTCATTTTTCAGTGCCTTTTCACTTTTTTTTGTGAACTTACGTTTGCCATTTTCAAGAACTCTTTAAACTGTATTGACTGTTATGATTTTTTTTAAAAATTATTTGAGATCTGCCAATAGTTAGAAAACTTTGAAATTCAGATAGATATGATATTAGTTCAAGAACCTGTTTGGCTCATTTTAGACAACATTACACTTCATTTGCATCAACTTCTTCAAATGTCAACCCATACTGCCCAACTGTCCTGAAACTGCATTCAAATAGTCCTTACATACACCAATTCATTCTATATTAATAAATCAGTATAACTACACTGTAAATAAAGTTGCACAGAATGAAGAATATAGAGCTGGCATAATCATGAGACGAAAATTTAACATGTTTTACCTTGATATAAAAGAGTTGGGTGTAGTTGGTGAGGAAGATCCCTGAGAAAAAGATGAGACAAATGGTGGCATTAAACATGGACCCTGATAAATAATTTATATATTAATTTAACATTGCATTTGCAGTTGGCAGCTTTCTAAAATTTTTCCACTAAAAGGCAAAATGCCTACATACATGAACAGAGTTAGGGTAGAGAAAGTTGATTTACTCAGTATGTACAGTAATGAGAAAACTTATGTTTTGATAATCATTTTGTATAAAAATATCTTTACCATGACTGTTTCCAATGAGGCTGAGGATGATGTTGCTGTTAGTGTGTTTGAAGGTAGCCTCTGCAACTGCAAATTTACTGCTTCACCCTGTGTTGTTAAAGTAGTAGACAACCACAATATCAATAACAATAATATTATTGTTATTTTACTGGGGATTATACTTTTGTACCCTGGAGTCAAAACTTGAGTTTTAGAAGCTGGTTCAAACATAAGAGTTTATAGACTGACATAATCTATAAATGTGGCTGCTATAGTAATTAGCCTGTGTAAGAGGTATCAAAACAGATGGGTCCGAGGAAGAGAAAACAGAGAGGTATTGGGAAGACAGCCCTTTTACATTAGTCCACCCTTCTCCTTGCCCCCTTTGCAACTGACATGCAACCTGACAGCAGTGAGTACAACTGTACCATGTGAAGATTCTAAATGTTCAAATGGAAAAAACAATGTACATAGTACTTTCCTGTGGTGTTTGTGATGTTGGGTCGTAGATCCATATCATGTGAATTTAAGTATAATAAAATCATTGACCATCTAAATAACAGCTTTAAAAGGACTATCAGTAATTTACTAAATTAATATAAAATATACTCTTTAGAGTCTGAGGGGCTGTTGGTTTTCAATTTTGCTAACTCTTGCAAGAACAATAAATAGATAGACCAGGGCCCAGTTGTTCGAAGGCCGATTAGCACTTAACCCGGGGTTAAATTTAACCCGTGTTTGTTTTTCTTGTGTTCAAAAGCATTTTCTCGGATAATTCTCTCTGCTATTTTTAGAGCTTCCAATCATCAACTTGTAGACAAAAAGAATTAAAACTGAAATGCTTTTTAAGCTTTCAAATCCGAATTCAAATCTCGCACTAACCCTGGGTTATCTTAACCCAGCTTTGAACAACTCGGCCCTGTCTAGTTACTGTACATGTATAGCAGTAGTTTTGTTCACAATGGACAAGATACATGTACATGTCATAACCATAACAGGAAGTGTGACAGTGAAAATGGAATAGCAATTAACATACTGGTAATTAGATGTGTATTTGGAGACAACTGACCTTTTTCTTGCTAGGTCCATTAAGGACATGAAGCAATACTTGAGCCACAACAGCAGTAGCAAATGTCACAAATACAGCAGCATACCTGCAGTGATGACAAACATTTCCAGATAAGAACTAATGAGTGTAAAGGTTCAGTTAAATAACTAGTACTTATCAAGTAGCTCTCCTATTTTAACATCATTTTAACTTTGTGAGTGAACTGAACTCCAGGAAGACATAACATTTGTCACAGTCTGAACATTTTTTCTCCACCCCTGTCATTTGAACAGGAGCAAGTTCACAGTACTTCAGAGAATAATTTATTAACCATAGATCCACAAATTTAAAGTACCTGAAATGAATCAATTATTATTATTTTGCCATGAAGACAAACAAATTATTTTTTGGATGAATATACAGTTGCCTCTCACAAAAATCAAGCTATATATTAACATCAAAATACTTATTTGCACTTTCAGCCACGCTATCGCAAAGAGAGGATATTTAAAAGAGTGTTACTAAAAACATACACTTGTATCAACTTACCACCGCATAGAGGAAGCAGGCCGTTCAATAGTTGTCTCTGAAGAGGTGTTAGCATTGTCAATTATAGTGCTCTTCTTGGAGAACAACTGCTTGTCTTTTTGACAAGTATGTGGTGGAATCACTGGCATCACCTCACCATACAAGTAATAGCCATTGTCTGTAGGTATTTCATGTAGAAAAAAAGCCATTAATTTCAAAGCTGCATTGCCCATCTTTACTAATAACTCACAACTTGAGTGCTTGTGCTAAACTATTAATTTCAATAGCAGTGGATAGGGGTTCCAGTGGATTAAAGTGGAACACTAGTGTGGAACAATGAGCTCAGTGAGAATATAGCAAGAATTAGATAGCTACTGAAATAATAATATAGTATGCAACTATGAAAATGAGGCTACATGTATAAGAACTTAGTAGCAGGGGACATGGTAGAGTGTGGATTTGCCAATTAGTGGAAATCGCATTCTAGGGCATTGAAATTTCAAATTTTTCAAGGGGTGCACATCCCCAGGCCCCCTCTAGAAGAAGGGGAGAAAAAGCCTCTTTTTGATACAGTCAGTTACTTTTTTTAAACCTGTGGGCTACTTCAATTTTTATTGAAACCCCTGGAAACTCGAGCAATCTCAAAAGACTACTGAAAGATGATTAGTTGCATTGGAGTACACAATGAATGCAAATCAAACTTGCTAAGAAGAGCGGGAGTGAAAAACACCATCAACAAATTTTAACACAAATTTAATATTGCAATAGCAAGTAGCTATTAAGCCCATGATGCCTACCAAATGGATACTCCATAGGATTCCACACAGCTAAATCTTTAGTAACAACAGTTGGTGTTCGCGATGGTGAGCTAGTTAGATATGGCTTCCAAGTGATTTGTTGAGGCCTTTGCGCCACTTCATTACCACTGACTGCACCAATTTTAGCTGCTGCTTCATGACTGGGGTTGTAAGGCTCTGATGTTTGAATATAGACTTGGCCTTCATGCTTCCCTTAGGTATATGGAAAAGAAAATGAGAGTCA